ATATATATATATATATATATATATATATATATCATAATATTATTCTATATATTAATGATAACTGAAATGTATTATAGGATGAGAATTGTTCGAGAAATATTAATAAAATTTCATGATTTATTAAATACAATAAGGTTTTTATAAATAATGTTGTTTTTGTTATCCTTATCCTTGGTTGTATCATTTTAAAATTAAACTTGGGGGAAATACATGTCAATAAATATTGGTCCGCAATACACCTCAAATCATGTAGTTATTAATGTCGTCCTTGTTCATGGTGGTCATTATGTAGCTAATTCTAAGTAGATACAGGTTTCAACGATGTTTTTAATAGTTTTTTTTCGGATCAAACATAATCTAAGGGTGAGGATTTGGTAGTCGGACATGATATATATATATATATATATATATATATATATATATATATATAATATATATATATATATATATATAATATATATAATATAAATATATATATATATATGAGTAAATTACACAAATAGTCCCTATGGTTTGGGGTAATTTACGAGTTTGGTTCCTAACTTATTTTTTTAACTCGGAAAGTCCTTATTGTTTGTTTTTATTACGCACTTGGTCCCTACTGTTTGTTTTTATTACGCGCTTGGTCCCTATCTTACCTAAAAAAACAATTATTTAAATGGGGAAAAATTGTGGGGTATGTAAGGTAAGGTGAGGGGGTGGAGGTGGGGGTGTGTTTATTTAAATAAATTAAAAAATCAATGGTAAAATAGTCTTTTTAGGTAAGACAGGGATCAAGCGCGTAACAAAAACAAAATGTAAGGACCTTCCGAGTTAAAAAAATAAGATAGGGACTAAACACGCAAATTAGCCTAAACCATAGGGACCATTCATGTAATTTACTCTCTCTCTCTCTCCTCTCTCTCTCTCTCTCTCTCTCTCTATATATATATATATATATATATATATATATATATATATAATATATATATAATATTATATATATATATATATATATATATATATATATATATATATATATATATATTATATATATAGGACTGTTCAAATGAGAACCACAAAAGATTAAGAACCCTAAGAACCAATATTTAATAAGTAATATGTATTGTGAATATTACTAACTATGTTAAAATCTTAATTTTGGGTTGTTCGTTAAGATAAGGGAAAAATTGTATTTTTTTTGTCTAATATTTTCATTCATACAATCATTTTATATTTTAACCCAAAATTTATGTAAAATGCAAATTTATACAGTCCATTTACAGTTTAATAGATAAAATTCACAACTTAATACAATTTATTTTATACCAATTAACAAATTTAAAGAAGTAAAACTCAAACTCTACCACTACCACCACCAGCACACACTGCCACCAACCACCTATGCCAACATTGCAACCATCTTTTCTTGAAAATCAGATCTGCATATAAAGTAATGCAATGAGAGGGTAAATACTACATTCATAATTTAATAAACCTATTAATTCACTCATATTGAATTTAATACAAAAAAATTAAAAAAACTAATGCATTCTTACGTACTTATACAACACGAAAAATAAATGTATTCTAACATTAATACAAAAGTTCATTCATAAATCATTTATATGTTAACACAAAATTTATATGTAAAAAAAATCACAGTAAGTTGCAGTCAGTTCACAAATTAATATAATCAATTACCGTTTAATACATAAAATTCACAGGTTAATATAGTAAATTAACAATTTGATACACTGAAATGTCATATTCTTAACTTAAAACTTACATTTACATTTTCAGATATTAGTTCACAAGTTAATATAATCAATTACCGTTTAATAAAAAAAATCACAGCTTATTACATTAAATTAACAATTTAATACAATTAAATATCATATTCTTAACTTAAAACATACATTTATATTTTCATATATGAAGGTTAGTGTTTTTTTTTCCAAGTTAAATTTACACAATATTCTAAATTTAAGTTTTTGTATAATCTATTTAAATTTAGAAAAAAATCATATATGTGTATAATGATTATTTCTTCTTATATTTCAGAAGCAAACACAAAATTCATAACAAACTCGCAACATAGTACAATCAATTCACAACTTAATATAGTCAATTCACAGTTTAATACGTAAAATTATTTATTCACAAAAATATTATCAACTTAAAAATTACATTTATACGTTCGTATATGCAGACATTTCTATGTATTAAATTGTGAATTTATTATATTAAGTCATGAATAAAATTTACAACTTAATACACAAAATTCACAGTTTAATATGATATATTTATAGCTCATTTACAAGTATAATATCATATGTTACTGTATTAAACAAACTATCCACAATTTAATATATACATAAATTATCTCATCTTTCAGAACCAAACATCAAAAGAAAAACATATACAATTTATTGAATAAAAAAAATCAGATCAAGATATACAAAAAATCAGAATTCACAGTTCAATTCAATATTTGAGACATTAATTCACAACATAATTCAATATTCCAGATACTAACTCACAATTTAGTAAATAAACAAAATATATAATCACATTTTAATAACTTATATACTCATAAATTAATATATAAAAAACACATATTCATAGCTTAATAACTTACCGAATATCGTTGAAGCATTTTATCAAACACGTTGTTTTCACCATATACGTCATATCCATAATCACCATAAAACAGAAGATCTGAACAAATATACAAAGAGACGTTATACTAACAATTTATTCATTGTTTAACTTTAAAAAAA